TGAAGAAAAGGACCATAATACGTTAAACCAACATTAAACTAAGATAATACAGTGATTATCGAAAATTTTAACAAGCAAAATTCTCACATTTTTGTGTTTTTTTTTGGTCTCTTGTTCTCCATCTTGCCGGTTTTTCTTCTTTCCTCATAACTCTCTGTTTGGAGTTTCTGAAAAGCCTCTGTTTGGAGGGTCATGTAGCCCCTAACACTTCGCCCTACCCCTCTATCTCAACAAGAATCGGGACACCCTACCCCTAGATGTGAACGTGCAAAACGGAGGGCAAGGGGCTAAGTGGGAGGGGCGAGGGGTGATGGGATGGGATTGGGCCCAAGTGCTGTTTATCTGATGGGGGCAGTTTTGGTGTCTACCAGGTCTTCCAGGTGGTTGTTAGGAGCCCCATTTTCTCTGTAGCTTTTAATCTGTTATTGAAACTCCAATTTTGGAGTGAGAGGGAAATTCTTCTACTGCAGCAGTAAAAACTACAGTAAAGAGCAAATAAGAGCTAAACAGGAGCAAAGTATTTATATATTTATTATATAATAGAAAGTAAAGATAAATAATAAAGAAATATACTAAAACAACAACAAAAACAAATGTGCAGTACAAAAATAAGAAGTAAAATTGCATAAGTACTGAAATACAGTTGGCAGTGCAGTGGTGCACGTCCCCTCCAGTGAAGGAACTAGTGACCATGTACACTGTTAGAAATAAAGGTTCTGTGCAGGTACACTTTCTGTTCATCGAGGTACAAACAGTGTAAATGTTCCCTCAAAGGTACAACAGTGGTTTTAAGGTCTGATTGTGAACCTTAAATAAGTTTTTCCAGGTGAAAAGTTCGTATTTGTACCTTTTCATAACCGAATGTTTTAAAACAGAACAGTAAAATAAAAGCCTGGAGACGAGACGGGGTGTGTGGAGTCAGTACAGCTTAGAACATATCATTTCAGTGGATTATGGTTCAGTTATGTTCCCTGACTGAAGGTACTGAGATGTACCCTTGAGGGTCCCACCCCAGTGACAAGAGGGGGACTGACCCAGTGACTTCAGAGAGTGCACCGTAAACGATAACTTATATTAACCGCATTATGATATTTATGGACATATAAACAAAGTGGCAGTGCATAGTATGTCCAGCTGGTACCCAGTCAGCCCGTCCTGTCAGTGGCTCAGTATACAATAATGTCCCAGCACAGTCAAATGACCATTAATGGTCATTTTGACTGGAAATGAAATACATTAAGGGTGGTCTCTGACCTTTGAAAGGTATATTTGCTCATTTCATTTGTCGTGCCAGTGACGTTTGCACGATCCTGATATGAGCTCGTTGTAGTCAGTTTAAAAACGTGCACTGAGCACAGTGGGGCTGGTGGATGAGAGTTCCTCACAAGTAACTGCAGTCGTACATCAGCCTGGTGATGGACTCTCTATATGGGCCTCTAATAGCTTCATTCTCAAATAATAGTCCACATCTCAAAAGCAAACATACAGATTACGCTACGTGCAAAAACCAACCGAGCATGAACTGAATACATCAATCACACCACATAGCTGAGTTATAAAAATGCAATCAGATCCCTCGACATACATGTTAGCACACCACAGTATTTCACTGGAGGCTGACGTGGAATGTTCCTGCAGGCAAGAACGTAAAGGAGATATACTGCAAATTGGGCCTGCCCACATTACTCAACAGCCTGTACTTACAGCAGTTATCAGAGGCAGCACAGCAGTATGTACTAACAATTACACCCCGTTTATGGTTCGCCACATCATTACCACAAAGCCACATAAGCAAAGTACACTGAGTGGGGTCTCCTGTACTGAGAGAGGCCTACTGTACTGAGAGTGCATCAGAGGAGGCTGCGGAACTGAACTGAGTAACACCTTCAATGTTTAACAATAAAATGCAAAGCCTTAAGTACGGAGCAGCAAGCTTACCCTTACTGAATACTGCTGGCTCTTTACTGCTTAGTGAACCATGGATGAGTTTTGACCTCTTGTGGTCAGAAAAAGAACTGCATTATCAAGACTTCATTACATTTACAGCATTTCGCAGACGCTCTTATCCAGAGCGACTGACAATTTCGATCATTTTTTTTACACAGGTAGGCGAAGGCAGTGTTAGGAGTCTTGCCCAAGGACTCTTATTGGTATAGTGTAGGGTGCTGACCCAGGCAGGGGATTGAACTCCAGTCTACAGTGTAGAAGGCAGAGGTGATACACTACACTATACTAACCACTGGTTAAACAGTGTCACACATTAAAGGGTCTCTATCCTGCATTTTGCTTGCATTTTGTTTTTTCCCTTCAGCCCCTTTTATGAAATTTGTGTGCATTAAATATTTAATGGCGATTTTTCTGGCCAACTGTGATTTAAATGCAATTATTTTCTGTAAATTAATTCCAGAGTTTGCTTTTTTTGGACAAGAAGACCAGAATATCCACTTATTCTGTCATGATGCTCGAACGCTGAGTGTGTCAGACTACCGGTCAGTTGTGATGGTTGTGATGTCACATATACAGAACATTGGTGTTATGTTGCTTCTCACTGGTCTCATCTACAGGCGGTTCATAGGTTCTGTGTTATCAGGTTAAATTTCCCTGTTTAAATCTTGTAAAGACAACACTGTTGATAATGTAGTCTATAATAATAATTGCAGCTCTTGCGATTTGAAAATTGCACTCTTTTAAACTGCGATTTCGATATAAAAATGATTCATCTTTCATCCCTAGAAAACGAATGGGCGGGGCTAAACTGCTGTAGGCTGAACAGGCAGATGTATGTTAATGGGTTTGTTCCTATGACATCACAGAAACAGTGAACTCAAGACAGGCAATTGTTGCTGTGTATGTTTCATAAAAGGACTGTGTAGACTGGTGGGTGAACGGCACGGCTTGCAACTTTAACAGTGTTTACTCAATACATAACTCTATCTATCAGAAACAAGCGAGAAGAATCTTCTAAAATAGGATAGTCGATAATAAAAAGGTCTATCAGGTCCAAAAATACATGATCAAACAACAACAACAAGATAATTAAGCTCTTGCGTTTGCATACAAATGATCATCTGCATGTGTTCACAAAAGAGCTTCGATCTGCATTTGCATTTCAATGACCAGAGCAATATTACACTGCTTTAATGTCCTGAGTTGGGCTCGAAATATGCTGCTCCATAAGCTAATGAGGTCAAATGTAACACGGCTGCTTATGCAGATAACCAGTTTCAAGTAAATCGTGCTTTAGGTCTTTGTTTCATATCCCCAAAGCAAAGTCATATGAAAAGTTTCACAGAAATTGGACCAAGATTTCTCAAAATCCTCAGTTGAAGGAACTTTTTTCACCATAAATGTTTTGAAATTACGTTGTACTCACAGAATTTGCTCATATTATAATCATCTCCTTCTTGGTGGCTGTAATACAGCACCGTTTTAAGAGTTAATGTATTCAAAATATATTTGTGTTGAATTTTTGCTTCTGTACTTTGTGGTGAAAATGAATTTGACCCATTCAATACAGCTTCTTTTCAGGTAACCATATTTATTTTGATGAATATATTTTTATGAACTGAAGTTTGAAAGCTTGCCTGGTTCAAACAACGTAAAACTGTATTGAATTAATTGTGTTTGCATCATTTTATAACTTCTTTTTTCAGATGAAATCAAGGGCGTACTATGAAAATTATATGCATAAAATTTATTTAAATTTCATCTTGCTGATATTTGTTAAAAATGAACAAAAATACATTCTCCAGTGTTTGACATGCACATTCACTAACATTATTGACGCACAATGATATCAGAATCATGTCTGTGTTGGTAGATATTCGATTAAATATCTGCATTGGATGTTTAGACATGGCCAATATTTATAATACTAATATTTTGATGATGTATCTATTGAATTGAATTAGGTGATGCTGGTTCACTGTACTAAAATATATTGATTTGATTCATTTTGCTGCATTCTTAACTCCACAGATATACAGATGTTATATTACACTTTTATAAAACATGGTTCTTCAAGGATTCTTCAGTAAAGACAATGGTTCGACAGAGAACCATGAACACTCAAAGAAGCTTAAATGGTTGAAATGGTTTGGCAGACTGATGGAGAATGTGTTGTATATGCTTCTATATAGAACCTTGTTGAAAATGGTTCTATATAGCATCAAAAAGGGTTCTTCTACTGTTAGAAGCTTGACATCATAGCAATATCAACAAAACAATCATCAACAGCACAATCTCCATCAATCTGAAGAAGCATTTTACCATGCAAGTGGTTCTTTGAGTGCGCAAGATTCTATACAGAACCACTGTCTTTACTGAAGAACCCTTGAAAAACCATATTTTTTAAGAGTGTACTCTGTAATGCTAATCCAGGTAGATTTACAATTCCTACATGTTTAATAAATGTTTATGTATCGACATTGACAGATATGTACATAAAAGTCTGGTATATCTGCATCAGCCCACTATTCCTATATCAGTGCACCCCTGCTGATCATATTTAATTTGATGCAGATATTTTTATGTATTTAGGTTGGAAAGCTTAGTTAAACAACAGAGCGCTGTACTGAATCAAGGGTTCACGCATGACTTTACCAGACTTCTTAGTGACTGTTAAAACTAGCCTCACAGTTACATCTCAGTCCATCACATTTAACCCCACCTATGGGGCTGTAACATCTGCCCTCCCACCTGTTTCAGCAGAACTGTTCACACTCAGCAGGCATTTGAAACACTGTTTACATTTCCATTTGCAGCAGAGATGTGTCGACCGTTAGATTGAGCCCCACAAACATCATACACCATATTCCCCACTGAACAGGAGGTTGAGAACGGGTTCTGTCGTTCTCTGATATGCTGCGTTCTCCAAATGCAACGGTAACGTTTTTGCCCATACCGTAAACAAAACCAGAGACAACGAACAATGTGTCCATTCTGTAGAGAAAGGCAGCTTAAACCCAGCAACCAATAGAGATGAGCTAATGCTGACTGACCTGAAAGTGCAGAATTATGGTCCATATTAATCCCAATGTCAGTTTTGGGTTGCCGTCTGTGATGTCATCATTTCTGATGTTCACTAGTTTCACCTGTGGGAATGCAGATCGAGTTATAAACATGATTTGAAAAGACGAGCAGCAACTGGAACCAGTTAAAATCCTCTCTCCAATTCATTTTACTAATATAATATCATTAAATGATCATACATATGTATTACATACATATATATATACAGATATACACACACATACTTACTAAAATAAATTCAAAAATAAATAAAACAATAATAAAATAAAAGCAACAAAATAAATTTAAATAAATAAGTCTAAAAATTTATACAACATTCTCTTATGTTTTATAATTCTAGTACCTTGATTCAATACCAATAACAATACTGGTATTGGTATCTATCAATACTTTTTTTCAATAATATAACAATCCTATATATCACTATTGATTCTCAACCACCATTAAATTCAAAAATAAAACTTTCACTACATGTTAAAATCAAATCTGTTGAGGGTCTAATTAAACATCCCATGACGGCTTAGTTGGGTATTATTAGTTTGTGGTGATCATCGGTTCCAAAATCCAAACCTCTCCAGATCAGTGTGTTATTATTACTACGTTTTCGTTTAATAATAAAATAGATGTGTGTTGTTTGGTTTATAGTCACTTTGTGGTGATTCTGAATAAGTTTTAGAGAAGAAGAACAGAGAAGAACTTCACTATCATTTACTCTATAATAAGGTATTATTATAAGGTATAATAATAATAATTAATATTTTTAGGCTATATATTACTTAATGAAACATTTTACAAAATATATTACAAAATATAACCTTATTTATCAATATATATCAAGCATGAGTAATGATTATAAACGTACGATGAACTACAGACAAACTTCAGCTTTTACCGCTTTCTTATTTTTATTTTTCATATTCTGAAAAAATCTCTATGTGGTCTCAGTCTTGACTCAGACTTGCCTCTATAAATATCAGCCAACAGTGCTACTGACTGTTAATGGCCATAAGGGGGCACTGTAAGACTGAACATTCATTCAGGAACAATGGATCCTTTGGTAAGACTTATTTTTCCCATTAAGCGTTTCCTTTGTTAGTGAGGAACCGGTAACAAGGTTAAGTAGCTGTGATGAACCAGAATAAAAGACCTGAGAATCATCTGTGATAATTTTCAGCAAATTATGTCTGTTTGTCCTCAAAAATGCTGGAGTTAATACATGTCAGACAGTCCTTTATGAGAATTCTGTGATGGAATTTAACTGCATTGCAATTGTCATTTCCCTGAAAGTCCATCTCATCTTTACAGCACCACAGCACCATGTCCATTTACAGCTGTGGTCCATGACCTTCAATAAAGCAACACACTCAGTAGTTTCATTTTTGCTATGAAACTTTGAATGAAAAGTGAAACTAGGCATTGTTTTGCTTTGTATCAGGGAAGGTAATACTGCACACAAGTGAAAGGGGATTTTCAGGGTTTTACGCTGTTTTATTCCACATTTGGTTTCGTTCTCGCTGTGTGTGACTGCCTGAGCAGATACTGGCACTTACTGCATTTTTAACATCTCTAACTCTTTGAAAGTGACACAAAAAAGCACTTATTTCTACCATCTGATCTTATTTCTACCATCTGATCTACTCCTCCTCTTTAAGAAGGTAATTTCTCACGCTGTTTATGCGTTTGCTATGTAAAAAACTTAATCTAGCTGTCAGGTGTGACACCCGCCCTCGTCACCAGAGGTCAGCCTCACCTGAGCACTGACCTGCTTCCTAGTAACATTTAACCTCTCTCACCTGGAGCTCATTAACCTCCCTTTATAAGGAACTTCACTAACGCTGGATCTCCAGGTTTTGCCAGGTCATCTGCATACCAAGCCTCGTTTTCTTCATGACTGTTGGATTTTTAATTTTCTTTCTTTATTTTTTTTTTGATTAGCTGGACCTTTTTCTGAACTCTTTGACTGTTTTTTTGAACTCCCTTTGGTACCTTTGCTGTGTTTGATCTTTTCTGTTTTTTTACTTTTTGGACTGTCTCTGACTCTGACTCTGGTCTTTGTGATCTTTATACTTTTTGAGTAAACAGGAATTATGGATTCCAATCCATCTGCAGAGTCTTCCTTACATTAGCAAAGCTAGAAATGTTTTATTATTATTATTATTGTTGTTGTTGTTGTTGTTGTTGTTGTTATTTAATTTTTTTATTTTTACTTAGTTTGTGATGCCCCCCTTTTTTGAAAAAGAAAACGCACAGATAGTTATATTCTTCCCACATCACGTCACTCTGATTAAACAAATCAATACTAAGCACTGAACAATCCTGAATGAGCCTGCATGGGACAAATATCACAGTGTACAGTGCTGTAAAATAGTACTCCTCTTAATTTCCTCTAATTTTGCATTTTTGTCACACTAAATGTTTTAGATCCCCACCAGAATGTAATACAAGACAAAGAGACCAGGTTTTTATCATTTTAAATGTCAGGATTCACCACTGTTCCAAGTTGTAGAGATATTAGATCTCACTGTGGTTCGCTGGAGGCCCAGAGCCTCAGAAATTGCCCTGTAACCATTACCAGACTGATATTTTCCAACAACTTTCTTTCTCATCGATTCCACAATTTCTTTTGATGACGGCATAGTGAGCTGCTTGTTCTAGCCTGCTTCTATGAAGCCCTGCTGATGACATCCCACATAAACAAAAATAACGCATGGCCACGCCTTACTAAGCTGTGGTCAAGGCTTTATTATGTCACTCCCGCACTTTACTAAGTCGTGGCCACATAAGAGGATGTCGTCCCCACGCCTTACTAAGCTGTGGCCATGAAATAATTATCCCCACGCCTTACTGAATTGTGGCCACGCAGTAGGATCTCGTCCCCACGCCTTACTGAGTCATGGCCATGACTTAATTATCTTGTTTCCACGCATAATTCGTGGTTAAGATGTAAAGAAAGTCATTCAGAGTGGTTTGGTGTGAAATGGTTCAGATGTCTTTACAGTGGTGGTGATAGGACCCAGGGGTCGCCATGACAACGACACAAATATAGACATTTTATTTACTATCCAAAACCACCAGTGAACCTACATGTGCCTTCTGAGCTTTATATGGAATGTTGATGATGGTAAAATACGGGAAAATCTGAAAAAATAGGTTTTCTTTGGGGACTATTTTGCCTTAGAACACCCTTCTTGTATCCTTCCGCCATGAATGGATTAAAATAAACTGAAAAAAATACATCTTAGTCCAAAAACTGTATCAAAAAACTACAATAAAACAGTGTCTCAGTCATCAGGCAGCGTATTCATGACCATTTCATGTAATTACGTTCTGTGGGGGAGCTTTTAGAGGTGGACGTCTGGTTCCTATCACCACCACTGTGAACAGTTCTGACTCGGTAAGCTTCTCTAAAACAATTTCACACCAAACCACTCTGAATGACTCTGTTTACATCTTAACCAATTAATTATACAGCACTTTTGAAAAATCGGTGGAGTTCCCCTTTTAAAGGTGTGCTCTTACCTGCCGCCGTTTTAAGTAGTCCAGTGCTATCTGTACATTCTGGAGTCTGTGGAAGCGCATGCGGCCCTTCTCCCGAGGCTGCGAGAGGGGAAGAGAAGAAGAAAACGTGAGGCTACATCACCTTCAGCTCTTCTCTCAGCAGCACAAACTCACCGCATCTCAGCCGCAGGACAGACGGCGACGCTTCCGTGTTATATAGAGCTGCAGGGAGAAAAACACAGTGACCCCTATTTCTCCAAGGGGTCAGGGCTACAAATCAGCATCAGTGCAGTAGACGGGAAAGCTGATCTCCTTTGTGAGCGGGCGAGCAGGTGAGAGAGCAGAACAAAAAAAGACCAAAATACACTTCCATTGTGATCGACCCACAAAGATTTACATACCACAGTGCAGCTAATGAACCAAACTTTATCTGTGAGTGATTTAAAACACAAAACACCAGTGGACTTCATTCCTTCTCAGAAGAAATCTGAACCATTTTCACAGCCAGCTTGAAAGCTGAGACTTTAGGTGCTGGAACTGTGAGAAGCTGTGATGCTTGATGAGCCTGAGGGACCAGCAGGCTGTGTGACGGGGCTGAGGGAGCAGGTAGCCAGGCCTGGAACACAGCTACTGTAAAGCTCAAAGGCTGAAGCATGAGGCAATCAGTGCTATAACAAGGGCCATTCAGCTGGAAAATGATATATGAGGCACATTAAGCAGAGGCAGAGAGAGACAGAGGGCTGTGTTGAGACTACTGGTCTCAGAAATAGGTGAGATACTTGGTTTACTGCATTAATACATCTGTGATGTTTCTCTTTCATGGCCCCTATTCTTATAATAGCTTTTAACTTTACTGTGCTTGAGGCTCTTTTTAAAGGGCCCATATCCTAAACTTTCCATGCATTTTATTCTTTCCCCTGAGGTCCACTTATACCATTTCTGTGGTTCTATGCACCAAAAACAGACATAATTCATTTTGCCTGATGATATTCCAGCCTCTCTTTATCCCTTACAGTTAAACAGACTAATTTTGTTACTGTGCCTTTAAGACTGATATGTAAATGAGCTCTGTTCCGATTGGCTGCCCTACATTGTGCCTCACTCAAAAGCAGTCCAGGCTGAAACACTTCTTATAACTTAAGCTTGAATGGGCAGGGCTAAACCGCTGCAGGATGAATAGATGGATATCTGTAAATGCGTCTGGTTTTAGTGACATCACAAAACCAATGAATTCCAAATTTGCTGTCTTTGCAGCTTAGTTTCCACATATGGGCTGTGGGCTGGGGAGTGGAGCCCATTTTTAAACTTTAACAGTGTCCACATATGACATCAAACTATTTTATCTAAAAAATGTGAGGAAAATTTGGTTTTATATGATATGGGCCCTTTAAATATATCTACGAATGAGCAGGCGATGGATGACAAATGTAGGCCTGGGCAATATCTAAAATAATTAGCATGATATTTAATTGTTAAAAATCAGAAGTATCGATTACTACCCCCCCGCCGCCCCTTCCCTCCAGCCTCCGAATGATAGTGCATTTGTGAGCTCCTGCTGGTGTGGGTTCGTGGCTGGGCTTATATCTCCCTCAGATTCACATCCATTTGCTTTACATGTTAAAAAACGAGTCATTTTCCATCATTTAGAGCTGATTCCTCAGGATTACAGCTATAGTTGCCTGTAAGGAATCATGAAATATTATATTTTCACAATTGTACAGCTCATCTGAACCATCAGGACACTTGAACTGTGCGGAAAATCTTGAAATTATCCGCAGATGGTATGTCGTGCACTGGGAGACAGTGGAATATTAATGTTACCATAGCCTAACAAATTATTAATGCCCTGTAATGATTTATTGCTGTACTAGTAAAAAGGAAGAAAATGTAGCTGTTAAAACGAAATTAGTTTTCTCAGTTCTCTCAGTGTTTCATAGGCGATAATCACTATCGCCCAGGCCTAGACCAGTGTGTACATACATACACAGCTTTTCCAGACTTGTGTTTGTTGTAGATGCAACAAGCCACACAAGCCGAAACTTAAAATACAGACAGTAAAAACATCGATTTAGCAGGACCTGACCGGTATAGTGAATCCTGAATATAACAACTGATACTGAGGTCTAAAAATCCAGCCAATAAAGCATCAATATTTAGCGACTTTTAGATTTTACTATGAACAGACACTCTGAGGAGAGAAAAACTGTTCATTTCTGAGGATATAATGCTTTAATGCTGTCTTTATGAAGCCTAACAGTCACCACTTAGTCCAAGAACTAGTAAGTTTGGTTAAAAACATGTAAAATGCTTTCAGCTTGTATGAAGAAAACTGGTAAATGAAGGAAAAATAACATAAACAGAATTAACAAAAAATAACGAAACCACTGGGAACTCTGTGAAGCTCCGCCCTCTTCAAAAATATGAAGAGAATTCAGCTTTCATGGGCGCTTTAAACTCAAACAGCAGAAAGTCACAAAGTCTTAAAGAAGACGTTCATATTATTTTACTATGAATGTTGTAGCACAAGGGCAGAGCGTCACAGAATTCTTAGAGGTTTTGTTATTTTTGTTAATTCTGTTTATCTTATTTGTTTATCTTATTAAAAAGTTTGATGTAATATGTCCATATATGGAAATAGCCGCAAAAAAGCCTGTTTTGAATTGAACAAGGTACCTTTACATATATCAGTCTTAAAAGCAATGTAAGAAAAAGACCCTGTTTATCTGATAAAGAGTTTAATTTTGGTATGTAAACCCATATAAAAGTCACAAACTTACAACCCCATTTCCAAAAAAGTTGGGATGCTGTGCAAAATGTAAATAAAAACAAAATGCAATGATATGCAAATCACTTAAACCCTATATTTCATTGAAAACAGTACAAAGACAACATATCAAATGTTGAAACTGAGAATTTTTTTTGAAAAATATTTGCCCATTTTGAATTTGAAGTTGTGAAATGATAAAAAAAAAACACCTGGTGGTTGATTGGCAACAGGTCAGTAATGTAATTGGGTATAAAAAGATCATCTCAGAGAGGCGGAGTCTTTCAGAAGTAAAGATGAGGAGGGGTTCACCACTCTGTGAAAGACTGCATGATCAAATAGTGCAACAATCAAGAATAACGTTTCTCAACATAAAATAGCAAAGAACTTTTGCTTTTCATCATCTACGGTACATAATATCATTAAAAGATTCAGAGAATCTGGAGAAATCTCTGTATGTAAGGAACAAGGCCAAAAACCAGTATTTGCTGGCCGTGATCTTTGGGCCCTCAGGCAGCACTGCATTAAAAACAGACATGATTCTGTACTGGAAATCACTGCATGGACTCAGAAACACTTCTGACCAGACCAGTGTCTGTAAAAACAGTTCATCACTGCATCCACATATGCAAGTTAAAACCCTAAAACACAAAGTGGAAACTGTATATAAATAAGATCCAGAAATGCTGCCACCTTCTCTGGGCCCGAGCTCATTTAAAATGGTCTGAGGTGAAGTGGAAAAGTGTACTGTGGTCCAACAAATCAACATTTGAAATTCTTTTTGGAAATCATGGACACTGTGTCCTCTGGGCTAAAGACCACTCAGCTTGTTATCAGTGTACAGTTCAAAAGCCAGTATTCATGATGGTATAGGGGGCATTAGTGCACATGGCATGGGTGACATGCATATCTGTGAAGGCACCATTAATGCTGAACAATAAATACATGTTTTGGCAAAATACGCTGCCATCCAGACGACGTCTTTTTCAGGGAAGGCCTTGATTATGTCAGCAAAACAATGTCAAACCACATTTTGCATGTATTACAGCAGCATTGCTCCGTATTTAAAGAGTCCAGGTGCTAAACTGGCCTGCCTGCAGTCCAGATCTGTCCCCACTGAAAACATCTGGTGCATTATGAAATGAAAAATACTGCAAATTAGACCCCAAACTGTTGAACAGCTGAAATCCTATATCAAAACGAACAGGAAAACATTTCACTTTCAAAGCTACATCAACTGGACTCCTCAGTTCCCAAACACTTTGGGAAAAGAAGAAGCGATGAAACACAGAGGTAAACAGGCCCCCGTCCCAACTTTTTTGGAATGTGTTGTGGCATCAAATTCAAAATGGGCACATATTTTCAAAAAACAATAAAAATTTCTCAGTTTCAACATCTGATTTGTTGTCTTTGTAGTATTTTCCTTTAAAACTATGGTTTACTTGATTTGCACATCATTGCATCCTATTTTTATTTACATTCTGCACAGCGTCCCAACTTTTTTGGAAATAAACACCCTAAATGGATCTCATGGAAAGAATACATGAAACACATGAATGCAGGATGTTCAGAGTTGATTCCACAAATCAAATCCCAGTCAGTGAAGCGCTATTTAGCTGGAGTTCCTTTATTGTTTAAACAAATTCCTTAATATAAGCCGATGTGCATCCTTTTGGATCTTTAAAATTGGTATCAGTCACTCAATTTTCACATTGGTCAGGCCCTACTACATTAAAAAAGCAAAGAAAATGTATGGATTTATAAGTGATATCACCAATATGACCGGTGATATCGTGCAATGAAGTGCAAGGAATTTGATTTGGGTCATTCAGTCACAGTGCAAGCTTCTAAGGCTGGAAACGGAGAGAGAGGCCAGGCTCACATTCTGAAGCACTCCATGGCAACCCCATCAATGGCAGAGGCTCTACTCGAACAATGCAGTGCATGGTGTTTACCTATCTCAACCCCTGAATTCCTACAGTCCACCATCAAGAAGCCAAGCTCTCCAGGTTTGGCACTCTGATTAATGGTCACTGCACACTCTACGTTAGTACTGTTACTGAGGGAGGAAGGAGGGCAGGTGATCACACCTACCCCCTTATCCTCATCATCATCATCCTGCACACGTCCATGCCGCTCAACCGCGCATGCTTCGGCCGCACTCACCAACCGCAACGTCTTCAGAAAATCGCGCTCCCTCGGCTTACCCGCGGGAACGCAAGCGAGAACAGGACAGACACACAGACAGGTGGACAAATGAGGAGAGATGAGCAGAGAGGGAGGAACAGGGGAAGAAGGGAGAGAGAGGAGAGAGAAAAGTAAACAAAAGAAAGAGGACAGCAATTTTTGAAGAGCTCTCAGACAAGGTGGCCATTACTGCTCATTAAAATGGAATTGTGAAGCTCCTCATTTGGTCTAGGGAGTGTTTACAGTAGGCCTGTGCCGGTAAGAGAATCCTCTTATTAACCCTGCTGAAAATAACCACGGTAAACAGTTAAACCAGGGTCCGGTCACTTTTCATTCCAGCTTCAGCGTTAGGGACCATCTAAAAATTACTAGAAGAAAAGATCTCTAAGCACATTTGCTGATGATGTGTCCAGACACTGTATTAGAGACACTTTATAAGTTAAGTTCATATTACAGAAGCAAATCTTATCTTATATAGATCAATTTAAAGAAATTTCTTTTTTTCCTGATGTGCACTGACCAGCCACTTCATTAAGGACATCACCTTGTTTCTACACTCACTGTCCACTTTATCAGCTCTACTGACTATACAGGAGCACTGTAGTCCATCTGTTTCTCTGCATACTTTGTTACCCTGTTCTTCAAAGGTCAGGACCCCCACAGAGCAGGTATTATTTGGGAGGTGGGTCATCCTAAGCACTGCAGTGACACTGACGCGTTAGTGTGTGTTGCGCTGGTGCGAATGAGAACGGTCCACTAGCCAAAACCATCCAGCCAACAGTGACCTGTGACCACTGATGAAGGACCAGAGGATGACCAACACAAACTGTGCAGCAGATGAGCTGTTGTCTCTGACTTTACATCTACAAGGTGGACTGACAAGGTAGTATTGTCTCATATAGTGGACAGTGAGCGGACACAGTGTTTAAAAACTCCAGCAGCACTGCTGTGTCTGATCCACTCATACCAGCACAACAATAATAACAGTGCAAATAATAATAATAGCAACACCTTTTGTTTCAGTCATTTTGAGACGGTCCCTAACTCTGAAGCGGATGCAGAAGCGAATGAAGCGAAAGATATATATACATAACGGCACAGTTCTTTGAAAGTTGTGGCTGTATTTTACTGCAATCTTTAATTTGGCCACAAAACTCCAATTAATCTAGTATGAAAGAACAGAACAGCGAACGCCACACAAACTTTCCCGTCTGATGCTGCGGTGTCTGCAGTCGCTTAGCTTAGTTTGACTGTAGAAGAGCTGAGATATGACAGTATGTTTACTGAGACCTGAAGCTGTTTTGTCTGACGTCTGAAATCTGACGCTGTGGCTCCTAAACAATACCATACCACAGATTTGTACAGGGGGCTGTTTCTGCAGTAACCCTGCAAACTGTCACCAGGCACAGGCCTAGCTTACAGACTTGAAATGACAGATATCATGAGTTAACAGAGCTATTGGGGAATTCTCAGGCTACATACAGAGAATTTCACAGGCGAATCAGGCCTGTTTTAGAGCAGACGAGCTTCAACTACTTTGGTAGCTTAATTTATGAAAGGCTTTAAAGGGGAATTACATCAATTTTTAAAATTCTTGCATAATCAAATGGGTAAGTTGTAAACCAAGTCATTCAGACTGGTTTGGTGTGAAATTCTCTGCTCTGTAGAGAAACTTGCTGAGAATTGTTCACAGTGGTGGTGATGAGACATTGAGACCCCTGGTTCCTATCACCACCACTGTGAAGGAATCAGAGTCTGTAAGTTTCTCTACACCAAACCACTCTGAATGACTCTGTTTACATCTCAATGACTGAATAATGGAGAATTAAAAAAAAAAGGAAGGAAAATTTAGATGTTTAATTTCTAAGGTCCGGAGGTATTTGGGTGCCTCCTCAAAAGCTACAACTGGCGACAGCAATACACATCAGCACTGACCACACACAATTCATTTATATGAATTAGAATAACTGCCACATTAATGATGCCAATCAGCATCACTGCAGCACAGTCTCCTATAACTGGACCAACTGTACTGCTGAATATTAGGGATGCGGATTCTGACTAATTTTGACATATGAGTATCTCCAAGAGTTAATGAACAGATATTTAGTTAACCCTAGGCAAGAAAAAGCAAAATAAAATAATAAATATAATAATACTACTCATTTTAGGAATGATGGAATTCCCCTTTAATAATATGTCAATAGCAGTGTTCTCATGGTGTTCTCACAAGGGGAATTCCACAAATTTTTCTAAATTTTGCACAATTAAATGGTTGCAATGTACAAGTCATTCAGATTGTTTTGATGTGAAATGGCACATTCTAGAGAAACCTACAGAGTTAGAATTGCTCACAGTGGTGGTGACGGGTACCTAGCATTTAATGCTACATCACAGAAAGCTTTTATGTGACTTATTAATGCCTGAGACGTTTTTTTTTACGATGGTTTTGACCTAAAATGTACTTTTAAATCCATTCATGGCGGAGGGGTACCTGCAGAGTGTTGTATAGCAAAATAGTCCCCAAAGATAACTCTCTTTTTTCAGATTTTTCACTATTTTACTTTTTTTTTTCAACATTACATATAAAACTCAGAAGATGTGCAGGTTCACTGGTGGTTTTGGATAGTAAATAAAATGTCTTGTGTTGTAGTCATGGTGACCCCTGGTTCCTATCACCACCACTGTAAAGAAATCTGAGTCGGTAAGTTTCTCTACAATGAATCATTTCACATCAAACCACTTTGAATGACTCTGTTTACATCTCAACGACTGAATTACACAGACATTTTGGAAAAGTGGTACAATTCCCCTTTAAGGCACTCAGATACTAGCAAAGCTGTCCTGTTCATGTATAGAGCCAATGCTTCTTTCAATTGCCCTGTATATTTTTTCCATCTTCCCATAACAAATAAGTGAAAAGTGATCTCAGTATTCAAAAAAACTGCACCACGAATGGTTAACTGAGTGCCTGTCCCTTATGAAGATGTTGCTGATTGGTGTCCAGTATATCGCTGTTGTCGGAAGAAAACCTTGTATCTCAGTTTTTTTTTACATTTTTCAGTTTTTGACATAATTTGAAAATACATGTTACCCTTTACATTGTGTGTAAATTTCACGATGAACGGACTGAAAGAAATGACCTAAAATGATCTGGAAAAAAATCTGGTTCCATTGACTTGCATTAAAAGTAAAGTAGGGTTTTTCCTTCTCCTGTAAAGTTACCATTTTGGAGACACAAGGTTTTCTTCCGACAACAGCGATATGATTAATAATACAGCATAATTACTCAGTAACCAGGGTTCAACAGCATCGACACACAAATGTCTCCTTTTGCAAACTCCAATAACTTTAAACACAGGTATTTAAACAGAACATATGCAGAGGAATAAGACTGGCGAACAGATGTCAAAGAAGAATTCCCCAATAGCTGATACCAGTCATCATTACACGGTTGATGCATCCAGCTGATGCAATGCAGAACAGTGTAACTGACTCTGAATAAACAAAATGCTTTATTAAAACAGATGGTACTTTTGCCTCCAGCAAATCTCATCAGAAGAGCAGATTTGTACTTACAAAAAGTTAAAAACAGTACAAAAGCAACATACAGATGAGCCATGGTTCAAATGTAGTGCTAATCAACCAATCGTATGTTAGAATCTCACGTAATGTGCAGTCTATGAATTAATTTTAGATTCTTGCAATGCATTGTTAGATGCACCACTATTAAGCTATTAAGCACAAAAGCACAAAAAGTATCAGTAGAGTACAAAAAAGGTCTAGCAAGTTAGAAATGTATGTTTTAAAGGCCTTTTGAATGAGTTTAGTGACATATTCTGATGTGGACTGTTGCAGCTACCAAAGCTACTGTACTGGCCCTTACAGCATTGTGAGGTTACCACAAGAAAGTGCAACTTACACGATTAAAGTGTCCTCAATATCTCAAACGCTACCGCTCCACATATACTGAGCCAACAGTAGACATACTGGACAGTAAACATGGATGTATTTAAGGTGATAGAGACAATACTACTCACCAATGTGTCACCAGACAGGACCTCCAGTAATGAGATCAGGTTATGTCCATCTCGCAAATCCTCATACAGGTCATTTACGTGCTTTCGTACCTGTGAGACACATGCAGAAGACGTTACACAGTGAATTCATAACTTACTGGCCTGCTAACATAAACATTATATTACACGTAAGAAGCTATGGGATAAAAATTGACAAATTTCTGTAGTTTTATTCCGCTTTTCTAAAAAATACAGAAGAAACTCACCTGTAACTACAACAGCCTGTGAATTTACTGTCTGTTCTAGATAAAACTTACACCTACACTGTTTATACCTCACCATCAAGCCCACATGTCTGTCCTAAACGTACTGACTGCTAATGAGGGCGTAAACTAGTAGTTTAGCTTCTTTATAATATTGTGGGTAAATATATCCATGCACTGCTCCACTGCTCTACTGTAGGGCCGCACTATATAGACAAAACATGAGTATCGCAGTTGTATTGCTACATATTGCAATATGCCTTGGTGAAGCAATAATGTGACCAGTTAAAGACTGGCCTGCATCATTTTGACCCAAGTGCTTTACTTTGGTTGGATTAACATGAACAGCTTCATTCAACAAGAACACACACATAAAATTATAGACATGGTGGTTTATGGGTAATTCTCCATTGGAGTGGGAGTTCAGGTGGATACATTTAAAAAAATCTAATTTTTTCATCCCAAAACTAAATAATCTTAATATGTTTATTAATATCTCCTATTATCATATATGCAAAAAGGAGAGCTCAATTCCAAACATATTTTACAGTCACTGGTGTTGTATGAACATGGTGTGACACCAGTGACGGTGACTCCAGTAATATTCTGGTTAAAACTGAGGATTCTGTAAATTGGCTGACTCGTTGGTGGTCAGGTGACCTTGTGCAACTATTAAAAATCAGTAATAAAAATGATTTCTGGCTTTATTTTGACAAATTTTAATTACACAGCCATTAAAGCACAAAACACCAGTTACACATAGAAGTTATGTGCAGCCGTATAAACAAAATTATTAATAAATTAATGAAATATAGTGAGCGAGTGTGACTCGACTTCTCATGCCTTGAGGTGCTTCCTCTCCGATGAGCCTCAACCCAAAGATGCAGTTTAATAGAGCTGAAAATACTGTGGTAAAATGTAAAATAAGAGTCCCGATAACAGCAGTGATCAAAATCTCTGTGTGAATTTTTAAAATAAAATACATTTTTTTAAATGTAGTATAACATCATTGATATAAACAGTAAATATGAATCTGGTTTATACACATTCCTCAGTTAAACCTCCTAAAATATTATTTTATATTAAAAATGTAGAAAATTTGTTATGTCAGGAGCTGTTTTACAGATGCAGAGCGACTATAAAACAGCATCAAAAAAGAGAAATCAGAGAATCATAAGAGAAAAGTGTTATTTAATCTTAGGTCAACTGTGTAAATGTACATACTGACATTTGGAGCTGTGCCTAATATTTTAAGCATCTTTTAAAGCCCTGCAACCTTTGTGACATGGTTTCCCCTCCAAATGGAGAATGACCCTTATACGTAAATTAAAGATTATCTGAAAGCAGAGTTTCCCGCCATTATCAGCTATTCAACAATGCTAATAAACAGTATATATTATGCAGCCTTTTTCCACTGCATGACACAAGCTTTCATTGACTCTTAGCCACAATAGAGCTTTTTAATATTGCGTATAACATAATTAAAGGAATGGTTTGGCGAATAATCAGATTTACCCGATTTTCCACTTACCCCAGATGTAGTCAATCAGCTAAGACACGTTTGCTTCTGTAGTTTAGAACTGGAGCTACAATGCTAACATTGCTAACAAAGACTATAACTTAATAGTCACCCAAATAATTTCTGTAAAAAGTGCACCCCCAAAACTTCTCTTAACTCACTCATACCACATCAGGACTTAATTAAGGTCGTGCAAACTTGCTGATGACAGCGAAGTATAACTTACTGTTAACTATGAAAATGAAAAAAAGCTTCACGCCATTTCAGACAACACCAGGGCTGGCATTCACAAAGCAGGACTGATCTTGGATCCGATGACTCCATACTGATAATGGTCATTGTCACAAATACTGATTCTAGATCAGCTCTGAGTCCTAAAAGGGTTTGTCTAAGTTAAGTTACCCTTTATTAATACCACAATAGGGAAATTCACCTCCTCATTTAACCCATCTGTGCAGTGAAACACCACATATACACTAGTTACACTAGGGGGCGGTGAGCACAGTGGGCAGCCCTATCCACAGCACCCGGGGGGGCAGTTGGGGTGAGGTGTCTTGCTCAAGGGCACTTCAGTCATGTCCTGTCAGCTCAGGGGATCGAACCGGCGACCTTCCGGTCTCATGGCTGGTTCCATAACCTCCAGCCCATGACTGCCTCCACTTGGCTGCCAGCGCTTGTGTTCACTTTTTAAACCACACTGACAAATCTGCGCGACCATAATGAAGACCTGGATGCTGCCTGAGAGAAGGTTTGGTAATGTATTTTTACAGAATCAAATTGGGCTAATTTCGGTGACTACTGAGGACTAGTATTTGTTAGCCATGTTAGCCTCGCAGCTCCAGTTTTAAACTAAAGAAGTGAAATTTGGACTTGAAATATGCTTCCACGAATCAACTACATCTGGGGTAAGTGACAAACTGTAGAAATTAGATTTTTCAGAAAACCATTCTTTTAAAACAGCATAATTTCTCCTTCCTCCTCAGTTCTGTATTATTCATGCTAGCTACTCGCTAACAACAGAATTCTTATCTTCAGGCTTCTCACACTCCACAGCTTGGGCAGCATTCAGATTCTGCATGGTGCACAGTGGCCAGTCCCGAATACCACGCCGCTGAAGTCACTGAGTGCTCTGGCTCACTAACCCACTTTTACCCGGCCCTCTCCCTCCTAATCCCCCCACAGCCACAGCTGAGCAGCCAAAATAGATCCGAGGCCCTCAGTCCTGGGTCAGAAAACTGCGCCCCTTCGCAGCAGAACCCTGCACTGCAGACAGCGCTAGAGCTGGGCCCTCTGACCCCGAGAAGAAATCTTCCACAATGACATACAACCGAGAGAAAGAACCAAACATCTTAGCAACAGACATCCTGATATGATACCATGCAACTTTCGGCTACTACTCAGAAGGATTGGGCAGTATTTAAGCAATGGAACATGAGAGGGAGTGTGTGATCACGAAATAACATCACGGCTGTGATTTGGTCGTAGATCATCACAGCCGTGATGTTATTCACTATAACACATTCCCTCTCGGTGTTCTACTGCTTTTAAGAAGTAAAAACGTTCAAATGGCTTGAGCGTCTCCTACAGCTGTCAAAGTTGTTGCTTAGCAACAACAGTGGAGTGATGTTATGGTGAAATGACAGCATGGTTAGAACCAATCTCAACCAATCAGCTTGCGTGGCTGGAACTAACTGTTGTATAAAACGGTAATAAATAACACTGCAGTGTTTGAAAATATCGCTAATAGCATGCTAATGTGTCTGTAGCTAGCTAGCTAACTTTCCCGTTCCACCTTAAATAGTCACGCAGTTGTGACGCCTGAAGCGCCAGAATGCAACTGCTGCACCATTTAAGGTGGAACGGGAAAATTCAAACAAGAAGCTGGAGAATATCTGACTTCAGCTTCATATCACTGAAGAATTAGTGGTGGGCAATAATAAATAATTGTCTTAAACCATCATTCAAAGCATTAATTGTCATATGATGCCCTAAATGTAACTAAAGCCCAGGAGTGAGGTTGCTGTACTTTACCCTCCTCTGCTATCACTGAAGATGGGCTGGGCCACCTACAGAGCACCACTAGTAGCCTGAGGGTTTAAGGGGGCCATTTCGTAGGGCAAGATTTCAACCACTACCCCTTGTAACTCAGTTCCAAGGGGTTAGGGTGACACTCGAAAACAAGGGGTAGGGGTAAAAAGAAGAAATGGGATTGGGCCCTTAGAGTGAGGGGAAAATATAAAAAAACCAAGTATCTCCAAAACAGTAACTTTACAGGAGAAGGCAAAAACACTCCCTTTCACCAGACAGGACCTGCAGTAATGAGATCAGGTTATGTCCATCTCGCAAATCCTCATACAGGTCATTTACTTGGTGAAGGACGCGTCTTCTGAGGATGTGAGTGAATTATCTAATGTTGTCATCACATCTTCATCAGTATAATGTTGTATCTGAGACCTAAACATCGAGCCAGAGCTCATTTTTGAGTCTGTGCAAGTGATGCTGATGCGTGAAGACGTACGACATGGTGTGAAAAACTCTCGACTCGATGCCTCAGTAACTCTCCTGACTCAGTAACACTACTTCTTTTCATTTTAACAGAAAAAAATCTTACATAGTGCAGCTTAAGTAAACATATTGTCGCTGTCTGAACAAAACTTCCATTTCTTGTTGTTTTTTATTACAGAATTTGAAAATGTCAGCTGCCCTTTACACTGTGTTTAAATTTCACATCGGAGCAAATAAAATGTTCTAAAAGTAACTTGGTAAAAATCTTTTTCCATTATTTTTCATTCAAATTTAAGATTTTTTTTTCCTTCTTCTTTAAAGTTACCATTCTGGAGACACAAGGTTTCGTATATAATATATTGTATGCCTAATTTGCGTAGACTGAATGTTTTAATTTTACCATTTTTTAAAATACACTACTTCATCATTAAAGTAACATCAGTAAAGCACAGATTACAGCAAGATTACTACTGCAGCTCAGACTGAATTACAGGTTTGCCATCGGCCACCCACAGCCAGCACTGCAATGTACACTGGCCGAATTCCCAGCAGTGGGACGAGATGATAGAGTCTCTCTCTCGTTCTCAGAGCCACGCACTGATGCAACCGGACAATCACACACTGGCACAGCGGTCAGCATTCTTCTCCAACGCATGGCCAGCTGCTCAAAAAGGTGACTGTAGATCTGATATAGGAGCAGCCGCTGCCCTCTCAGACTCATACATCAATTTTTTACATCATTAAGCCCTAACTTCAGCTATAATCATTAATCCAGAAGCGCTTCCAACAAGCTATCACTTGCTCTGTTGCCTAAATGGACTCTGTAATTTAGTCCGTCTGAGTCAGCCCTGCAGTTCTGTACATGCACAGTGGCACAGGAGACAAACTAATGCAGGCAAACCAGCTTAAAATGTTATTCTTTTGAGAGACACGCCTTTCAAGCAAAACAAAAGCAAATATTCTCGAGTTTGGAAGTTGTTAAGATGGTAAATAGAGTCAGTGTTACTGTGATTCAAGTGACAACCTGTTTTGATGATCATGGAAATGATACCAGCATCTCTTCTACAATTAACACAAACACTACGTCTCATGGTTTATTATGGAAATTATTTTTTCTGAACCCCTGGTAACCCAATAAACAGAGGGTAACACTTCATTTGAAGGCTACCTACATAAGGACTTCATTACACGTGAATAAGCATTGAATAACATATTTATAAAGCAATACTGGAGCATTTATGAACAGCTTAAGATGTTCTATAAAGTAAATAACATTGTACTGACATAAGAGACCTTAAACTGAAGTGAAGGACAGTTTGTTTCATTTATAACACTGTCATAACTATGTCCTTCTCGAATGATGGCGCTTATACAAGGCTATGAAGAAGCCTAGATGAAGACATTTCAGTTTGTATATATTTATAAGTATTTATAAGTTCAGTTTTTAATGTGTTACCAAAGGAATAAATGTCAGCCTTATGTCAACACCTTAAAATGCCAGGCTTACTACATTTACTTCTTAAACATTCTATGTCATCTTGCGATTAACGACATAAGCTGTTCATAAATACTCAACTATTGCTTTATAAGTACATAATTCAACACTTATTCATGTGTTATAAAGTCCTTATGCAGGCAGCTTTCAAATAGTGTTACCAAACAGAGAGATACAGTAGAGGTATACTGCCTTAAAAACAGTGGTGGACAGTAATGAAGTAAATGTAATTTGTTGCTGTACTTAAGTATTTTTTTCATGTATCTGTACTTTACTGGAGTATTTTCATTTTGGGTGACTTTTTACTTTCACTCCACTACATTTCGAAGTCAAATATCTGACTTTTTACTCCACTACATTCTGAGAAATCTGTCGTTCCTTTTGTCTTCTGTGTGCATAAAAACGTAACATGTCAAAACAAAATAAGCGTAAATTAAGAACACCAATCAGGCCACAGCGCACTTTGTTTTGAGCTTGTTTTGACCTGTTGGTCATACCGACCCAGTGCAGCACACGGTTCAACATCAGTGCAGCAGCGTAAAATTGTGGGAGTGTCTATCCAACATAAATGATGAACTAACCTAACTTTGTGTAAATAGACCACAGTATAGAAATATGTACTCATATGCAGTTGTGACTGACGTGTCTTTATTCTGAATTTATACAAACACGATTTCATTTTATAGTAAATTAGTTTTTGCTAGTTTATGTTTATGAACAGAGACCTACAGATGCAGTTTAGTAAAGGAAACTCATTTGTGAATCTGAGTTTAAAGTTTTTACTAAACTTAAACTTGTAACTAAGTTGTGAATTAATCTTAAACTGAAACTTTGCTTGTTTGTAAAAAGTGATTTCAGAGCCACTCAGTTCTACCTGATGGAAATTGTTTGCCTTCAGTGTTTTGTGTTTATGATAATGTAATAGACATCAGCATCACTAATTAATGACATTCTATTAAAAGACTGGTTTACCAAGAGTGACACTGGAGTATTTTCACCTAAAATGAGTTAATAAAGTTAATGAGTCATGTTAAAAAAACGGTAATAGGACATTAAAGTCGTAAATAATCTTTTAATACTTCTACTTTTGATACTTAAGTACATTTGAAGGCAAATACTTTTGTACTTTTACTCAAGTGGAGGTCTAAAGGGAGGAACTTCTACTTTTACTGGAGTAATATTTTACCTTGGGTATCTCTACTTTAACTCAAGTACATGGTTTGCGTACTTCGTCCACCACTGCTTAAACCTCAAACACATCAGCACATATTGTAGTTATTACAGGTGGTCTTCGTCTAATTCACTGCATTAGTATTCACTATAGAAGACAATGACACCTTATATAAACTGCACAGATGCTCAGAATGTGATATTCATATATCCATATATTCTATAATATCTGAACATCAACCTCACAACATCATACAAGACAGTGCTACCACAGACGCTGAGAGCTGAGGTCTTACCTTGAGGAGATGCTGGTTGATCCATTTTGTAAATGTCTTTTTCTGCACTCTGTCTCTTTCATCTGTGAAGACAAGAGGCCTGAAGTTAGCTGGATTACCACAGCATGCTTTTTAGTGGGGGTTTCAAGGAGAGGTCTGTCCATTTAATGTGAGGCAGAACAGTAGAGCTTGACCAATATTTAAAAGTGATGTCTGATAAAGATTTTACAATGCTAGCAATTCTGATAACTGATAATATTGGATCATATTTTATAATATTACACATAAATATGACTGTTATGATTGTTTAGATGGAAAACTGGGAATCAATCAATGGTCACACATCCAAAACTCAATAAAAACAGCAGAAACTCAGTGGTAAATAAAATGTGTTGTTGGAATTACCCAGAATGATTTTACTTTTCATCAGTTCTCTTTATAGAAACTTTGCTGTGCTATAACATGTTATTCTCACGCTATAGGTTGGATGCACTATGCATGATTTTGTTATATTTTAACCACGATGGTATTTTGTGTTCAGCCTGTTATGCTGTGATATAGTTAAACAACGGGTTCCACATGTTGGGTTCCCCAGTGGTACTGCGGTCTAAGGTTTCTCCTTCAAATTCCGATCAAAAAGTGCTTATTCTTATCACGTTATTGGCAATATTTTCTTCCGATACCAACAAAGGCATGTATCGTCAATATCAACTGATATTATCAACCAATATGAATGAGGCTCTACAGTACAGTACAATTTACAACGTCCCAATAAGCAGCACAGCACTGCAAATTTACATATATATATATATATATACACCAATCAGGCATAACATTATGACCACCTCCTTGTTTCTACGCTCATTGTCCATTTTATCAGCTCCACTTACTATATAGGTGCACTTTGTAGTTCTACAGTTACAGACTGTAGTCCATCTGTTTCTCTGATACTTTGTTAGCCCCCTTTTACCCTGTTCTTCAGTGCTCAGGACCCCCATGGACCCTCACAGAGCAGGTACTATTTGGGTGGTGGATCATTCTCAGCACTGCAGTAACACTGACGTGGGGGTGGTGTGTTAGTGTGTGTTGTGCTGGTCTGAGTGGATCAGACACAGCAGTGCTGCTGGAGTTTTTAAACAACATCTGCCAATATTAGCATAAGGCTATCATTTTGCTGCCCAACTCTGCCCAGTCCAGGAGCAGCACGGTGTCACCAGCATCATCAGTGAGATGTAAAAAGTCATTCAGAGTGGTTTGGTGTGAAATGTTTCATTGCAGAGAAACTTACTGACTGTGTACTGAGGTACTGATTTCTTTACAGTGGTGGTGACAGAAACCAGGGGTCACCATGACTACAACACAAATACAGACATTTTATTTGGCCAACCTTCACATGTCTTCTGAGTTTTAAATGTAAGGTTGATGATAAAATAGTGCTAAATCTGAAAAAACAAGTTTTCTTTGGGGACTATTTTACCTCACAACACTCTGCATCTACCCCTCCACCATAAATGGATAAAAAAAAAACAATTTACTCCAAAACTTGATTTCAAAACTATCATAAACAGTGTCTCAGGCATCAGGCAGTGAATTCATAACCATTTCATGTAGTAACTTTCTGTGAGGGAGCTTTTAGAGGTGGACGTCTGGTTCCTATCACCACCACTGTGAACAGTTCTGACTCGGTAGGTTTCAAATGACTTTGTTTACATCGTATCCTTTTAATTATTCAGACAATTTGAAAATTTGGTGGAATTTCTCTTCTTTGCCCAAGGGCAAAACCAAGAATGCCCAGCCAACCTTTCGGTTGCTGGCTCACCTCTCCTACCATTAAGGCACCAGACAAATCAGAAAACATATTTTAGTATTCAAAACAGGGACGTAAATTTTGGCTAGTTCCTTTGACCGATAACTGACTGCCACTATTCTGCTATTAATCATCAACTGAAAAGCCCAAAAACAAGGTTGAGATCCATTAAAATGTCAGTTATAAAACAGTTCCAGTTCTGAAATCTGATTGGCCAAAACACATTTGAAGCTGTTATAAAATACTTGACATATACACACTAATGAGAGTACACATCATCTGAACTCTGAATTAATGCTCCAAAATATGATAAGGTCTTCCTTGTATGGACTTTGGAATGTACTGATAGATGGAAACAGGCATTAGCATGTATATGTAAACAGGCCTGAATTAAACATACTCTTCATGAGAACCCGGTTCTGTTTCAACTGTGAGCCTGACCGCTATAAAATCGCTGCTGTCAGAACAAAACCAATCTCCAAAACGGTGACTTTACAGGAGAAGGAAAAAACATACTTTACTTTTAATGGAAGTCAATGGAACCAGACGTTTTTCCAAGTCATTCTGGGCCGTTTCTTTTGGTTCTTTCATCATGAAATTTACACACAATGTACAGAGCAACAGGCTTTTTCAGATGATGTCAAAAACAGAAAAACAACAAAAATGAAGATATTAGGTTTTGTTCCAACAGCAGCAAATATGTTCATTATTATATGACAAAAACTAAAAGGTTGATATAATGATGGGAAAATAAAACCGTTTTTTATATTTATAACATATAATATGATACTGAAAGTTCTGTATTATGTAGTAAGTTATGTTTACCACTCATTACCAGCCCAAGTTAAACTAACATAGACACCATGACCGGGGCAGCTTTAGCTGGACCACAACAGCTTCTGAAAGCCGCCTCCGTCCACCACGTCCTTCTAAGGCTGCACACCAGTGTGTGATTTCCTCACCGCAGTACATCACACTTTCTCTCAGAGAACATGGACGAGTCTGTCGTATCACTTGTGGATGTTTGCTTTTGATATAGTACACCTTTCTAGTTGTGCTACCATCCTCTTGCAAAGTAGTCATGAACGACACTATTTTTAGCTGCAGCTTTCATTTTTCGGTTGGCCTTTCCAGCTTAACCAGTTATCCACTGCGCCCTGATGCATACAATTATAAAACATTTCAACGTGAATGACAAATCTGTCTATTTAAACGGGAAAGATTTTTGGAAATGAAATAAAATGGTCCCTTTTTTAACCCATAGCTCTAGTTTAACAGTGGTTTGTTTGTCGGTTAACAGTTAATTGGTTAATCATTTACATGCCGAATTCAAAAACAGCCGAGAGAAATCGTTAGGTGTCTATTCTGGATGAGTAATGGAGGCTGCCTCAGATTAGCCAGCGAGCTAACATTAGCTAACTGGTATCATCGAATGCTAATGAAGACACGTCGTCGTCTATATGAGGTCTTGTCACCTCAGTGGACAATGTTTCACAAGTGCCGACTACGCCATCTCGGCCTTCACAGTCGCACACTTAACAACGCATTCCTGGCAACACACTCACATTCAGGCACTCACATTCCCCAGTAGCAAAGTGTAATATGATATAGGGCTTGGCAATATTATGATACATACCGTTATTGTGACATATTACAACACAAGTGGGCGATATTTTCACACATTTTCACAATACATGATATGCCTCATTTGTTTTTCTGATATTTAATAAGTTGGAACAGATAAAATAAAACGAGCAGCGCCCCTAGAACTGGGCAATATGACAACATTTATCGTTATCATGATAAATTACATCACAGTATGTCACAACATGCTTTTCTGACTCAGTATGTTAATACCCAACTGAATGTCTGGCTGAAAGTGAGGATAATTAGTCCTGTTTAACTGGATTCACTGCAGCACAGTGTGAGAAACGTTGAACATATGTGATTGGATTTATAGTTTTTCACAGTATTTTTAAAATGTGGTGCTACTTTGTTTTGATTCTCAGAATCAGAATCAGAATCAAGCTTTATTGGCCAGGTTTGTTTACACATAAGGAATTTGGTTTTTGTTATAGGAGCTCACAGTGCACAGTATCAGACAGACATTTACATGTAGTAAATAAAATAAAATAAAATAAAATAAAATAAAACATGCACTCCTACCATCGATCACTTATCATATGTCAAAAAAAAATTATACCGCGATACACTGTTTATCGTAAAAAACTTGCTGTAGTATTATATTACATTTTTCCATATCGCTCACCTCTAAGTGGCACATAGAGTATAATAATAATATTAATAATTTATTAGTAGTAGTTTTTATTATTACTATAATGATTTTATTCAATATTTTACAAATGCACTGCACTAAATCCAATTAAACAGGCCTAATTATGCTCACTGTGTAATAAGTACAGATCACTAATTACAAACTGATACGTACTGACAATATCCACGATATGCTTAGAAAAGCGTAGTGTGACATCATTTTTCACAATAACACTAAAATATCATGTTGCCACACAATATGCTTTTCATGGATATTGTCAGAACTTCTACATCATTGACCAACTACATGTTACACTACAAAGTGAGCACAATCCTGTCCTGTTTCATTAGACAGTATTTATTTATCTTAAATTAATTAAAAGTTCTTTTCTTGTTCTAGTTCTTTTTTTATCTGTCCAAAGATCAGAAAACATAAATATCACAGCATAACAGGTATCATGAAAACTTCTTAAAGTATTGTGATACTACATTTTGGCCACCTCTAATATCATGACATACTTCATATCAAAAATACCAGCTCTTTTAAAAGACAATATCACTGTAATCATTGTTAATCTTTTTTCCCATCTTGACGGAACAAATATTTCTTCAAAAAGTGCCCGAGTGCCCGTGAGTGAACGGCAACAATGGTTACCCTTAAATGCATAATCATATGAACGTATTGTTATAATGAGTATTTTAAAATTGTGCGGCCAATTTGTAAGATAGATAGATAGATAGATAGATAGTAGGTAGATAGCTAGATAGACAGATAGTAGGTAGATAGATAGATAGATAGATAGATAGATAGATAGATAGATAGATAGATAGATAGATAGTAGGTAGATAGCTAGATAGACAGATAGTAGGTAGATAGATAGATAGATATATAGATAGATAGATAGATAGATAGTAGATAGATAGCTAGATAGTAGGTAGATAGCTAGATAGACAGATAGATAGATAGATAGATAGATAGATAGATAGATAGATAGATAGATA